TCCGAATTCTTATCCTTAGCGGGTTGACCACGTGATGTTTCTATAACAGGTCGAACAGGTGACGGGAGAACAGGTGAAGGCTCGAATGGCCATTCGGGTCTAGCATATGCTTTATTTTCATCTCGTTTAAAGCAATAGACCGGAGAAGACCAATGCGGAGAAGTGCAATACTCTTTTCACTGGAACACAGGATTGTCATCCTCCATATAAAACCTAAATAAATATGGTTTTGTATGACCGGTCAGTCTGTTGACTAGGAAGGGTTTAACAGCTCCCCGCCAGTCAGCAATTTCATCCATGAATGTGCACAAAGGACGCTCGTTTTGAGAACTGGCAACGAGTTTGAACAGGTCGAGCATGGTATAAGCATCGTGCATTTTCAGTTTTCGAGAGAAATAACTGAAAGTGGCATCAACGTCCGTATGTGTATGTCCTACCAACATAAAACCGAATTCGACTTCTTTGAAGAAGCCAAATTTCACCAAAGTTGCGGCCAAAGACAAAACGTATTTTTTTTTGTTTTCTCTCCAGCAGTTGTCGGTTTGTATCCTCAATTTAGGAGGTAAGTCGCTTGTCGCTTGTATGTCAAGCAAAACTTTCGTAACGGATGACACCACAGCATTGGAATCATGTGGATAGCAAGGGTACCATGTGTGAACATGCACTGATGGTGAACGGGCGTGTGCGATAATAGCTGTTAAATTTGTTTTCATCATTGGAATATTCGCGAATGCCTTCGACTTGTTTTCTCTGCCGAAGTGTGGAATACTCGTCTTGCTTTGGTCCATACTGCCAATAATGATGCATAAACTGTTGGAACCTGATCTCTTCGACTCATTCTTCCACACCTCATAAGCAGCACGGTGTTGGAGCTGCAAGTCCAAGTGTTTGTCGCGTTCCGAAACGAAATAATCACGCACGCGTACGAACTTCGCAGAATTGATAGATTATTTGAACTCAACACACTTCTCGCATTTCGCAAAGTTTTGATCAACTTCATGGAATTTCACATGCCAGAAATGTGTTCTCCACATGTTATAGAAAACTTGGAGAGAAACAGAAGGGACACCCAGGTTGTCAAATTCTGACTTCAACAACTTATAAATGTCAACCTTGTTATATCAAGCAGACAATCTCAAAACCACTCGTGATTCTCCATCTTTGATCCTCATGTTATTGGGCATGGGATCTCCATTGTCACGCACAAAGGAGCTTAGTTTGCCGAACATCGTCGCATATGTTGCAGACGTGCATCTGAGTCCAGTGCTGCCATGCTCCGGCATAATGTAACCTTTTGACAAAGTCACCCTCTTTTTCAAAAATGTATTCCTGCACACACCCAGTGTGAAACACCATGCACTAATGCACACCTTTCTTTTCCCCACAATARGTTGCACAATCTCTTTCTCATCTTCCACGAAGGTGAACCTCTTTAACGTTTCAACCCACCATGCATCTCTACTTTTGTGATCCTTACAGTAATATCCACTCCGGACAGCTTTGATGTCTTCCATGGTCATGCGAGCGCAACAATCTTATTTACAACAAACTTGTCCGCGGACACCCGCCAGTGCTTTTTTGGTGAGCTTTCTGTTAACTGTTTGCAGAATCTTCTTTGACCGAGGCATTCTGACACGGAAAGTATAAGGACGCTTTAAAATGTCATCAAAATCAGAGATGACATCAGAACTCTCCATACCGTTGCGACAGTAATGGTCAGTGTCATCATCATCGCAAGGTTGTGGATGATCAATTTTGTCTGGAGAACTGTTGGCGTCAGATGACATCGAAGCACCAGATACCGAACCATCTTCATCACTCTCGCCAAACAGAAGGCCTGTGCCCTCGAAATCTCGTAGCGAACTTCTCCGCACCCATATGATACGATCTACATCGGATGTGTTCCTGTCACCGGAGGCGGCCCTACCCTGACCTTCCGAACCTTCTGCATCAGAGGTTTTCACTGGCCCGCCCAAGGCTGGAGATGCACTTTCGCATGTGGTTTCTTCACACGCAGCCATCCGGGACCTTTTATGATCAGGAGATTCTGGAGTTATTTGAACGTCTTGCGAAAATATTGGCAGGTCCATGGAAGGAAGCTCATCACTCGGCAGTATATTAGATGTCACACAGTCCATGCTTTCCAAAGTTCTGCTAGCAGCTTGCCGCGGTGCATGCCCACCACAAGCCATTTAAAACGTTTCTGCGATGACAAAACAGTGGACCACTGGCACAAGACATACATATCAGTAACAAATCCGTAGCTAGATGGATCACATGCGGTATATGTAGAGTGCAACACATGTGGTTCAGCGCCGCCACTGCTAGTCATACACTGTCGATGTAAGGCCCGTGAATGCGGGAAAAAGTACAGTCTTCAACAGAAGCGATGCACGAGAGACACGACGACTAGCTGTCGTGTTGAACGTGATGATCTCCCGCCGCGGTCATGCCCAACATGACGGCGCATCATCGCATTGCACAACACGACAGGCGCACACGGAGAGATCCACCGTCACCGTATTCTCACGACAGCGAGGTCATGTCCACCGTCGTCGTGTTGAAGATGACGATGAGCGATCGCCTCCTTGTTGAACGCGACGGTGCTTTGGTGGCGATAATGTCCGCGTTCGACCGTCGCATGTTGAACATTACCACCGGCACGGTGGCTACGAGCCGTCATCGCATCGAACACGACGGCGGGGTCGGGGTGTGCCACCTCTGTCGTGTTCGACACGATGACAGCGTTCGTAATCGTGTTGAACACGACGACGCGGTCGTGTTCAGCATGTGGTGTACATGCCCTCGCTCGAGCGTCATCGTACTGAAGACGACATGCTGTCGCTTTCGACATGAGGACAGCAACCATCACAGGTTCAGCACGACGGCGGGGTCGAGGGGTGCCACCGCGGTTGTGTTCGACACGATGAAAGCGACCGTTAGCGGGTTGAACACGACGGTGGGGTCATGTTCAGAACGTGCTGTACATGCCCGCACTCGACCGTCACCGCATTGAAGAAATATACATCAATCTAACTCTACAAATAAATATAAATGATTTTATACGTAACTTATTCTCTATAACTTATTGATACAACTTCTTGGGTTGTGGGCAGCCACCTCTGTCATGTACGACACGATGACAACGATCGTCATTGGGTAGAACACGACGGTGAGGTCATGGGGTGCCACCGGGGTCGTGTTCGACACGGTTACAGTGGCCATCATCCGGTTGAACACAATGGTGGGGTTGCGGGGCGCCACCGCAGTCATGCTCAACACGATGACAGCGACCGTCATCGGGTTGAACACAACGGTGAGGTCGGGGGGTGCGACCGCGGTCGTGTTCGACTCGATGACAATGACCATCATCGGATTGAACACGACGGTGGGGTCATGTTCAGCACGTGGCGTACACGCCCGCGCGCAAGCGTCATCGTGTCGAACACGGCGGTCGTCGTGTCGAACACGACGGTCATCGTGTCGAACACGACGGTCGTCGTGTCGGACTCGATGATGGACGGCTCTGTGAAACTGTGGGAGAAATTATGTTGACGTCCTGAAAAAACACGTATGACGAATAGCAGCAGTGGATGGGCGCGATTGGGGGGTTGTGGCGGGGG